AAGTCTTCATCTGCCTTTTGAGGATGTGCTTCCCTGCTGGTGAATTCAAAGGGAGCAGCAACACTAGTTCCAAAGATTTTCTAGCTTCAGAGTTTTACTGCATTGGTTACCACAGTCCAAGGGTCAGAGATGCAGGGAAAAGGTGGTCTGAAACTAAATGTTCTAAGTACATTAAGTAAATCATGTAAGGACATTGTGAAATCGTATTTCATAAATACAATTTTTTACTTTTTGTTGTTATTTGCTGCTCTCTATCTGTAGAGACCACTGACATCTTCACAAGATACTCTGTCCAGTGCCTCAAGTGAGCTTTACAAATTCTTTACACAGAATCTGGACAAGTCATATGGGAAACGTAGATATACTGTCAGCTATCACCACACCAAGAAGCTTGCTTAGCGTTATCATCACCAAAGAGCATCTCCAGCTGTAACAGTTGACAGTCTCCACAGATAAAGCTGAAACACATTACACGTGGCGTAAAGGGCACAAAAAACAATCTCTTTTTTTCATATCAAATTGCATCAGAGCAACCATTGTAGAAGAAACACAAGAAATAGAGTCTAATTGCACTGCTCTGTCACCTGCCTTTCCTCAGCCCGCCATCCTGTTGTTTCTGTCTTTACTGGGAAGCACCTGATGACCAAGCCCAGGCAACCACAGAAAACTCAGGCACGACTTTCTTGGCTGACATGTTCAGTCATTTTCAAGCTGCGGTTCTGGGATTCACCAGTCACTTTTTGCGGATTCTCATCAGAGACCCAGAGAAGCAGGTTCATACACGCTATGAAACAATCATTTTCAGCATCATAATCTACGTCTGCTATCACTTTTGGTTTTCTTATGATCAGCAGCTTTTCTTCTAAATCTTGTTTCCTTTTTTAAAGCCTCTCCTAATAGTGGTCGCTACGTATCTTCTGTCATTAGTCTACGCAACTCACGCTCTCATTAGTTCTGTGGTTTCCTCAAGATGTAGTTCAGTTGAAGAGAAAAACCAGAAAAAGCAGACAGTTACTGCACGTTGGGTGTAGATACTAACATCTCCATATACATCCAGGTCGCATTCACGCGGGTGTGTTTGTGTTTGTATTTGAGTTGTTTGCTCAGAACCCGTTAGAGACACTACGTGGGCACTCCACTGCAGAGGTAGGCAGATGACTTCAACGACTGACAATTCAAGTGGAAAAAAAAAATTTCTGACTACAGAAATTGAAACAGAAGCGCTAAAAGCTGGGCTGAGTTAATTCCTTCTGAAGACCACACAGAAGCAGAGAGCAGTAGGAGTCTGCAGTGGATGTGCAGCACTTCAGTTTGTAGTTTAAACGTGTCATTGGAAAATGCAATGTTCGTTACCAACAAAGGACAACTGTAAATAATTTGTTGCTTCAGCTGTTAAGGCTTTGGTTTTTTTCTGGTTCTGCCCTTTCAATTCCTGTATCCCTCCCACATACTGCTATTTTTATATATAGCCAAGACTACCAGATGTCACTTTGTCATCTGCCACCATCACCCTTTTCTGATGAGGTTTTTGCTACTTCTAATCTTCAGGTTACATCTAAGGTTTCTGGCATTAGGAAAGCTAGGAAGGAGAGAAAGAGGTGTTAAAAAAACAAAGTCTGAACTAAGACTTCATAAATGTAAACGCTTCTTCCATCATGTTTTTAGTTTGCATGATAAACTAAGCTAAATAAGCCATATATGCTGATCTCTCTCTCTCAAAAAAAAAATTACAATTATTGAAAAGGATACCGTTGCCCTGCTATGGGATAGAATTTTGTCTGCTTTTAGCAATAGAAAACATGTATTATTTGAAAGACTGATAGGATTTGTGGAAGGTGGAAAAGGTGATTTGACTTTTTTCTTCTTTTTGCACTTTATCACGACTCCAGTATCGGTCCCAAAGAACTGTGTCTGGCAGAAGGATACATATCACCAACAAAAAATTAAATAGAAACAAAAAATGAAATATAAACAAGTCTGCAGATGGAAAGAAGAATTAGGGAAACATCTCTGGGCTGCAGAGGGATGCATGAATAAAAAGCCTTACAAGACGCCTTTTTCAAATATTTATCCAATCACCAGTGGGTAAGTGACCAAACGAATGGCCCACTGGCTCAACATATAAAAACAATTCATTAAGACAATGATGCTTGAAGGGACAGGTTTATTACATCTCCTACACCTTTTTGTTTCTGAGCCAGTGACCAAAGCAATAATGAAAACCTTAGTCCAGAAAACATTTACAGCAAATTTAGTTTCAGGTTCTGAAATGAAAAACACGATGTATTTGTGCTGTTAAGTAAAACGCTACTTGATTCTCCTCCCTTCTCACACCCCGGGTGCTTCTCTAACCTTGCAATGGCATTTTCCATACAGTAATGCTTAAAAAACTACACTAAACACAACATAATCCTAAATAATAATTCATTTTTAATTACATGATAGAGAATACCTTGCAAACAAGAGACACTCATTAAGATTTACTGACAGGTATTGTATTTTTGGCAACCCTGGAACAAACTAGAAGAAAAAGCAAAGAATTATTCTATAACCATGAGGGAAAGAAACATCCATCTAAACATAAAGGATCCATACGGCAAAACTTAAAGAAAAAATCCACACTTACAGCAGATTTTTTTTTTTTAATTCTTAGTGCAAGAAACATAACCAAGTTAATCACAGAATCAGTACTAATTAAGAATATGGAAAATTCTCCTATACAGAGGTAGAGTCCAGTGCACAAGGCTAAAACGATATTCAATAGTCTAAACAAGACTGAGCCAGGTTTTACGGAATCCACTTTTTAAAGTATCAGACTGTATGTACATACAATAAATAGACTATACAATCTTTAAAGTAGTTTAATAAACTTCACAAAAATTATAGTAGATGCATTGAGATCTTTACATAATCCAAAGTTCATATCTCTATCACCCAGAAATGGATAAAACCAATATTCCTGATATCAAGTTAAATGGAAAATAGTTTAGCAAAGTGTTGATAAATCAAAATATTTCACGTATTTTAAAGCCTAAATTTATGCTTATAAAGGATGAATTTCAAATGCTCTGAAAATGTTCCTTTTGATACTATCTGTAAAGAGGTTTTAAATGCTGCAATTCGCATTTGTATTGTTACAAACACTTTCCTTACATTCCACATTCAAGGGAAAAATGGACTTGGATACTCACAGTTCTGATGCATTGGCACAACAAGAAGTGATGACAACTAGATTATTTTAAAGGCCCGAAGGACATCAGGAGAATTTAGGGACAAAACCTTCATGTCTCAAACTACACAAATCACATTAGATAGTTAACAGAAAACTGTTTGGTATTAGTACTTCAATCCTGTCAGTGCCCCTCCGCCCGCAGGCATCCGATGAGCATTGCACTGGAAGTCGAGTGTGCGTCTCTGGGCCCCTAGGTTTGCTACAAGCCCATAGGGCTTAATAAAACAAATACGGAATCGTTACGGTTTACCACAGTAGTGCATAAATCAGGGACGTCTGTTGCCGTTCACTTCAGTGATAGTCGCAAAGAAAGGATTTCAGGGAACTAAGAGTTTTCGCCTGTGTCTTTCTAAACTGTGCCAAAAAAAAAAAGGGGGGGGGGGGGGGGACACACC